AGTATCTTGTACGTCATATCGTGTCTGCCCTATTCCTTTTTTTCTCCAGTGTTGTGAAATACAGTTCTCTCTATCCATAGCTCAGTTCCCTTGACTCAGGAACGAGCCTTGTTGCATATTTGTGTGTGTACTTGCCTAGTTGTGCTTGCGGGGTTGAACTCTGGCTCTTTGGTACCGCCTCTCAACCGTCAATCAACTGATGTACAGATTCCTGAGCCTACTGGGCTCTTATCATATCTACATTTGAAACTGTGTATGGAGTCAGCCTCCACCACATCACTGCCTAATGCATTCCACCTGTTAACTACTGACACTGAAAAAGTTCTTTCTAACGTCCTTGTGGCTCATTTGGGTACTCAGTCTCCACCTGTGTCCTCTTGTTCGCGTACCACCACCCCCCCCCCCCATGTTAAACAGTTTAAACCTTATCTACCCTGTCAATTCCTCCGAGAATTTTGTAGGTCGTGATGATGTCTCCCCCTCACTCTTCTGACTTCCAGTGTCGTGAGGTGCATTTCACGCAGCCTTTCCTCGTAACTCATGCCTCTTAGTTCTGGAACTAGCTTAGTGGCATACTTCTGAACTTTTACCAGCTTCGCCTTGTGCTTGACAAGGTACGGGCTCCATGCTGGGGCCGCATACTCCAGGATTGGTCTTACATATGTGGTATACAAAGTTCTGAATGATTCCTTACTCACAGGTTCCTGAAGGCTGTTCTGATGTTAGCCAGCTACACACACACACAGATGTATTCACCTGATGCGGGGACTAAAAGAGACAAAGCTCAACCCCCGCAAGCTCAACTACGGGAGAACCTAGTTGGAAGCACCCAGGAAGCAGCCCGTAGCAGCTGTCTAACTCCTAGATACCTGTTTACTACTAGGTAACAGTAAATAGATATCAGGGTGAAAAAAAACTGCCAATTTATCTCTGCTTAGTCCGGGAATCGAACCCAGGCCACAGGATTACGAGTTCCGCGCGCCGTGTGTGTGTATGCTCGTTCGGTGGTTGGTGTAGATGAGTAGGGAGGAGAAAGTGAGTGTTGAGTGGCGGGTATGAGTCACCGGAGCCAGACCAGACGTATTAATGTTGTCCGGGGCTGATGGGGAGGCGAGATGGCCGCCCAGGGGTAGGTAGAGACGAGGGAGAGAGGGGGGCGCACTACATACCTGCCTTCCTTATGGTGATTACCGGGGTCAGTGCCCCCACGGGCCCAGTCTCTGCTAAGGCTCCCAGTTGACGGTCTCATCACCCTCGGTACCTCAGTCCTCTTGTGTGGAGTCTGGTGTATATCTCGCCTGCTTTCCAACCAATACAATATAAGAGATTTAATCGTTCTCGATAATATAAGCGTTTAGTCAATAGATTTGGGTCATTTCTTTGTAATTTCTATCGGCAGGGGTAGGTAGGAGGTGAGTAAGCGCAGGCTAGTGATGAGTGGGAGTTGATAGAATGGGATAGAATGGTGGGAGAGGGAGGGTAGTGAAAGTGGCAAAGAGTTGCAAGGGACAGGAAAGGCGAGAGGGCGGGTCTAATGGCAGAGGGCTTGTACCTTTCACGTGAAGATTGTGTTTGGGTGGTGGAGACTCATTTGAAAAGTCATATAAAACTGCCCTGTGGATTGTCGGAGTACTCAGTCTATACACCGCAGTCATGCAGCAGCTACAAGTCCACTACGAGCTCGCCATACCCCGTGCTACTTGCAACTTTTTTTCCGAGTAGGTGAATCTAAAACAACAACAGTAGGAGCAGCAGCTGCTTGCTCACCTGTGCTGCTACACACTGACCAACACAGCGTCCGCACTTCTCACCAAAATGTTCGCTTTCAAACTGACCCTTGGAACTAAATATGACAGTAAATAATTATGTAAGGACCACGATTACTACGCAACTAATCAAACCCCAAACTATCGGACAGTGTTAACTTAATCATAACTTGTATGATCCTAGTCCAGTCTTGCTGAACAAGAATCTTAATTACAAGGAAAAAAAGTCATCAATAACTGGGTCCTTTGTAAGGATCTATAGAAATGAAAGAATAGGCTCGGCGCTGCAGAAGAATAAACAACATACAAATATTGTGAAGTACCAAGTGGACATTGCTTTAGTCACATCACACTGTACTGTAACAAACTCTAGCAGCTAAGGTACCACTTACAAAATGAGATTATCGATGACAAATACCGTCAGTTCTTCGCTACGTAAAGATGATTTAACTAGTGGCACTAATTCTCACAAGGGAAATATATAAGTAAATAAAGTGTGTGTGGGAGTTTTTCTTTGGTGTTCTTTTCAAATACATAAAATAATAAAACCCAGATGGGTATTGGTCCAATGAAGGAAGGTGAGGGGACTCGCCCCTCAGGTGAGCTATTGACCAGCCTTTGGTTAAAACATTATTGTATCAATTAGTTGAACTGTTAGCATATAGTATAACAACTTAATAATGACAGATAACGTGGAGGTTGGGCGCAAAGTGGCGGGTGTATGATGTATTAAGCAGTTATACGGCCGCGTGTGTACGCTTCCATACACACTTCCATTGTTGATTTTCTCAACACCTTACATGCCACAGCCCGACCTCTGGGTCTCGGGCTAAGTTACCATTTTATTTATTTATTTATTTATTTATTTATTTGAGATATATACAAGAGTTGTTACATTCTTGTACAGCCACTAGTACGCGTAGCGTTTCGGGCAGGTCCCTGGAATACGATCCCCGCCTCGAAGAATCGTTTTTACAACCAGTACCCATTTTACTGTTGAGTTAAACAGAGGCTGCAGTTAAGGATTTGCGCCCTACTGGGCGCAAATCCAAATCCTTCCCGGCCAGGATACGAACCCATGACAAAGCGCTCGCGGAACGCCAGGCGAGTGTCTTACCACTACACCACGGAGACTGGTCATCATATGTATATCCTAACTCGTTTCCTTTTCCCCTAACACACTTGTGAAAGTTTATAATCCTCTGTCTCTCTCTCCTCACATCCCTCTCTCTGACCCCCATAATCCATGCACTCTACCAAGTTCACAAAGGATTGGTACATGACCTTCGACACGCGAACGACCGTCCATTTCTTTGTTAAATCACCCGTGATAGAGGAGTGGTGTACGTGAGGGCACAGTCCAACCTGCATGAGCGCTCACCCCCCTTACATAATAGGTTCATTATAGCGTTCACCGCTGCGTATGATGAAGCCACCTTCCAACGGTATATGGTGTAGCCTCGCCATTAGCTAGCGGTCATCCATTATATCATGCGCACATGTTTATAGTGCCGGGAGAGTGAAGGAGTTTGAGTGCGTGCTTTGAGTCCTCAATACCCCACTATTCAATAAGCAGTAGAACAGACCTCTAACCCTGCCCATGGAAGACGGATGAATATCTATGTATATATGATGATTTACCATTGTAAATACATGAACCACGTGTGAGATAGAAACTAAATTAAAAACAAAAGTACTCTTGGAGGGGTGAGTCATGTGGCAGGTATCATATCAGAGGTAATCTGTGGAGTGGCACTTGAGGGCCTATTATCCTGGCGACTTACCAGCCAGCTCGGTGTTGAGGTGCGCCCCGCCCTGCTCTGCTCGCGGTGGCAGATCACATGCTCACCCTCACTATGTTTGGAATTTACTGAAGGTTACCAACCACTACCCGTTGTGGCCTCGGTGGGGACAGGAACTGTTGCTGGTGGCTAGTGTTGTGGGAGCTGTCAACTCACAGCGGTCCCTGCTAGCCTAGTGGTAATGCTCGTCTCGCTACCGATTTGCCAGGGGTTAGAGTCCTGGCCAGGGAAAATTGACTAGGGAATCGGTTATGGCTGTATCAGTATCTGTCAAGGAATAATGATGTCTGACGACCTAACGTTTAGGGAGAACAATCAAGCAAATATTGCGTCAGCCAGAAAAATGATGGGATGGATTACGGGAGCTTTCAAATTCAGGGATCTCATCACAATGGTTGTACTATTCAAATCACTTGTGCTGTCCCGTCTTGAGTACTGCTCAGTACTCACTTCCCCCTTCAGAGCAGGAGAGATTGCTGAAATTGAGGGAATACAGACATCATATACAGCACGTATAGACGTGATAAAGCACCTAAATTATAGGGATCGTCTCAAAGCCCTCCAAATGTACTCACCAGAAAGGAGACGAGAGTGATAACAAATAATATACGTAGAAAATACTGGAGGGCCAGGTCCCAATCTACACTGTAAAATAACAACATACTGGAGGGAGCGATATGGAAGAAAATGCAGAATAGAACCAGTGAAGAGCAGAGGTGCCATCGGCATAATCAGAGGACACTGTATAAACATCAGAGGTCCGCGGTTGTTCAACATCCTCCCAGCGAGTATAAGAAATATTGCCGGAACAACCATGAGTATCTTTAAGAGAAAACTAAATAGTTTTCTAAAAGAAGTGCCAGACCAACCGGGCTGTGGTGGATATGTGGGCCTGCTGGCCGCTCCATGCAACAGCCTGGTGGACCAAGCTCTCACAGGTCAAGCCTGGGCTTTGGGAAGTAGAACAACTCCCAGAATCTCATCAAGCAGGTATCAGTCCTTAACTGTTCGCCCCTGCTCATACAGCAGTAATTGGATACCTGGTTGTTAACCGATTGGCGATTCGTGTTCCAAGGGAAAACCCTTGAGTAAGTCTCACCCACCTGTGTAAAAATAACAAATTTAAGCGTAACGGAATTGGTTCAACAATCAGGCTGTGCGCCTTCTATTTTGCTAGTAAATTGTACGAAGCCTCTCTTGTGTATACCGTGGACTGCATTTGCTTGTGTGTTTTAGAATAATTGTAATAGCACTGTTTAAGGTCAAAGAACAATGTTTATACATAAAACATAAACAAAGTAGAGTTAATACTCCAAACATGATTGATAGAGGAGTATCAAATGTCAAAACTGCGGGTGATTTTTCTGCTGGCGTCGTCTGGCAGTGACGTATTGAGAGAGAGAGAGAGAAGGGTAACAATTGTGTGTTTCAGGTGGTAGTGGCGGCCTCTCCCGGCAGGACCTGCTCGCCCTCGACTCGTCACACGCACACACGTGTAAGTAACCAGTTCCATGTAACTCGTAGTTTGTCTCAACACTCTTGTATGTAACGTGTTACAACATACAGCACGAAGCATATTGACTAGGCTAACAGGCCCATTTATGTCGCGCTCGTGCAAGTCCAACGTTTGCAATAATGAGCTGATCTATGTGCCTCGTAATTTGACTCTGGTTGACACTAAAACTCTCCCCCTCTACACATAAGGGGCATAACCGGCCGACTTCTCAGTGTTCAAGAGAGAACTTGATAAACAGCCACAATGGATACCTGATCAATCAGGCTGTGATTCATACGTCAGCCTCCGAGCTCCTGCGTCCAACAGCTTGGTTAACCAAGCCAACAACGAGGAGACCTGATCAGAGACCGGACCGTGAAGATGTTAATCCCCGGAACCAACGAAAGTTAGTCAACAGGTATTAGGTAGATAATCATAATTAACCTGCCCTGTACGTGTCATATATCTGCACAGTTTTACACGTCTTGCTGTCGAAAACCTGCGGTGTTTATCTCCCGACAAGAAACCTGACTCAAATGACTCCGTTTCCTGTCAACTGGTGTTTCAGCTCTGTTCTTCGTCGTCTTCTCGTAAATGAATGTGTTAGGTGCATTACGGCACCGCTGGAGCACCAACACCGAGTCTCTCTGGCACCACGTCTGGTATCTCAACTGTGGGGCACCACACATGTAGATAATTATGGGGATTACTGGTAGTAGTGAACCTTGTGGATGACATAATGGTGCCTCTTGGTAGGTAGTGTAGTAGTGAGGGTGTAAACAGTACTTGTTTGCAGCGGACGTAATCGTGTTACCCGCTGTGTTTGCGGATGTTTCATTGTCTGCAGGAAATCACTTTGCTATTTTTTGTATGAGCTAGGTGTGGGCACTCCTTGTGGCTTCCTTCCTGGCTCACTGTCACGAGCCATTTGTCTTTGTCATTCATTTGTCATTTACATTTGTCTTCCGTCGAAGATTTAAGGGTTTACCATTTACATTTACAAGTGGCATTTACACATGACAATTAAGACACAAGGTAGCAGAGTCACTGACTTACAGTATATAAAGAAAGGTGCTGCTTGCCACTATTTTGACACGTGCGTTTATTTAGACAACTTTTGATTTGTAATGTATATTAAAAAAAACGCTAATCTTGAATTGCTCTCCCTGTGCTCCAATAACAAATAGCCTCATTTGGACCCCAACAGTCTAATGGTGTTTGATTTGCATTGCGTAGCGTTGTCTTTGGCTACGCGAACGCACGTCACCCTTTATGGGTCAAGACCATGCCATGCCAGCCTTCACAAAGGATTAGATGGCAGTTTTGTAGGAGTGTTCACAAAGCAAACTGCAGGATATCCGATCATCAATTCGTGGTAGAAAAATTAAGTGTAGTGAAATGGAACACGTCCTGAGTTGCATGTAGACTTGGTGAGCAACTTGTTGTTGATCTACCTTTGTCTACCTGAGCAGCCTGGCCCGTGGTGTTTACAGCCTAGCTACCCCCTGCAGTTACAGCCTAGCGTACTCCCTGCAGTTACAGCCTAGCGTACTCCCTGCAGTTACAGCCTAGCGTACTCCCTGCAGTTACAGCCTAGCGTACTCCCTGCAGTTACAGCCTAGCGTACCCCCTGCAGGCAGCTCATCAACATTGTCTTCCCCGGGAGATTACTTAGTTTTCACTATAAATATAAATATATTTTTTTTTAAATTAGGGATGTCTGTGATACATCTGGAGAATGCCTTTGATTAAGACTTCAGACCTACAATATACATAACGTTGATACAACGAGGGTCTGTTATTGAACCAGGTAGTACTCTGATGCCAGATTTCAGAAGTAAAAGTTACGCAGGAAAAATGCATAATGTCAAGCTCGGCCTCGGGCCGGGCTTGGGAAGTAGAACTCCCAGAACCCCATTATCAAACAGGTAAGTTTGTTTAAAGTCTGAGGACTTGGTAAACTCAATGGATTTAATTAATTAGTTTTTATTGAGAGCATTCAATTAGTAAAAAGTTTGAAAGATTAACATTTCATCCCCCCCCTTTCTAATAAATGGTAATTAAGAGAGAAGTAATATCAAGAGTATTGTGTTAAGAATTGCATTTTCATCCCCCTCCCCCCATCCACTACAATTAGTTGAGACATGTCTAGTTTTTCATTCACAAAGAGAGGGGCGTTTGGTGACTGGATTAACGAGCATTTTGCCTTTGTGAATGAGGACGGGAAGTTGTATTTGAGAGTACAGGCCGGAAGTGACTGAAGCACCACCTGTAACAGCTCTGAACAAAGTCAAGATGACAAATGTAGAAAATACGGGATATTAGCAACTTTCATTGTATGCACTTGCACACCTTGAACCCTGCTACCCTTTGTTATGATGCTAGGCTGGTTGGTGGTTGTGTAAGGATTGTTGTTGTTGGCTGCCACCGTGTGTGTGTGTGTGTGTGTGTGTGTGTGTGTGTGTGTGTGTGTGTGTGTGTGTGTGTGTGACAGGCGGTTCTCTCGTGTATCATTTTCCCAATGTCGTCTGTATGTGCCAACTGTCTTGCCTTGTGTTACTCCACCCCAACTAGTCTACCCGTCCCCTCACAACACCCGTACAGCCCTTTCTCCTCCCCTCTGTAGTAAACTTGGATAGCATCAATATTTACTACAGGTCCACGGTTGTTCAACATCCTCCCAGCGAGTATAAGAAACATTGCCGGAACAACCGTGGATATCTTCAAGAGAAAACGAGATAGTTTTCTTCAATGAGTTCCAGACCAACCGGGCTGTGGTGGATATGTGGGCTTGCCGGCCGCTCCAAGCAACAGCCTGGTGGACCAAACTCTCACAAGTCAAGCCTGGCCTCGGCTTGGGGGAGTAGAACTACTCCCAGAACCCAATCAAGCAGGTATATATATATACCTGCTTATATATATATATATATAAATATATATGTCGTACTTAGTAGCCAGAACTCACTTTTTGGCCTACTATTCAAGGCCCGATTTGCCTAATAAGCCAAGTTTTCCTGAATTAATATATTTTTTCTAATTTTTTTCTTATGAAATGATAAAGCTACTCATTTCATTATGTATGAGATCAATTTTTTTTATTGGAGTTAAAATTAACGTAGATATATGACCGAACCTAACCAACCCTACCTAACCTAACCTAACCTATCTTTATAGGTTAGGTTTGGTTAGGTAGCCGAAAAAGTTAGGTTAGGTTAGGTTAGGTAGGTTAGGTAGTCGAAAAACAATTAATTCATGAAAACTTGGCTTATTAGGCAAATCGGGCCTTGAATAGAAGGCCAAAAAGTGAGTTCTGGCTACTAGGTACGATATATATATATATATATATATATATATATATATATATATATATATATATATATATATATATATATATATATATATATATATATATATATATATATAATATTTATTTATTTATTCTAATTCTTTTAGTGAAGGAATAAAGGTGTGTGATGAGAACTAAAGGGACATAGAGGGGTGTTGTGGGAGCGAGAACTGATCAGCAGCTACAACTGCCTAACACATTACTTCCCTCTTGTAGCCCTAACACCACACTTGTTTACAAACTTGTCTGCACCACTCACAACAAACAACGCATTGTAAACATTCTTGAGTAGCATGTTGAAGTCATGCACACCTACACCGTTTTGTCCTTAAGCAGCGCCCTGGAAGGTAAAGGCGCTCCTATCGCCACGGGACTGTTACAGAGTATGTCACTCTGGCCACAGTGGCCGTAACTCTTGAGCAACTTTGTGGAGTAATACAAGTTGTGTTTACTGAAGAGGGGGAGTGTTAGCGTGGTGTGTGTGTGTGAGCAGTGTGACGGTCCTCGAGTTTGATAATGAGGGTGATCCTCGTGCTCACTGTACCGTGGGAGCACCACACGCCACCTCCACTCCACCACTCCTCCACACTACCACCTTGGTTGTTACCCCGTAACGGTACACTCTTGGTGCCTCTACTTACGCCCACTACCACCTATGAATCATGATTGAAAGGGCTCGGTGATAAAATTAATGATATATTATTATTAAAAGCTGTAACTAGATACAACAAAATTCTAGTAGGCCTAGCGTTGTATTCACCCGAGTCTCAGTTGATATAAATCATATCTAAAACATTCTTGTTTTTACAGACAGGTTTTCCAGAACTGTCAAGTGTTCCAAGGATTACTGTGTATTAGTTTATCGGGTTAGCTAATATCGTAACTCTCCGGCCTCTCACGGCTGTTCCAGAGAAACTCCTCCAAAGGATACCTGATCAGTCAGGCTGTGACTCATACGTCAGGCTGTGACTCATACGTCAGGCTGCGACTCATACGTCAGGCTGCGAGCAGCTACGTCCAACAGCCTGATTAACCAGACCAACCATGTGGTCTGGACAGGGACCGGACCGTGGGGACATTGATCCCCGAAACCAACAACAGGTTGAACAGGAAGACCGTGAGAGATCGGCCCGTTATACCCCCTTATGTTTAGAAGGAGAGCGTTTGGGCCCCTTGATACTTGAATTTTCTCTGGGCGTACCTGTTGTATCTGTTTTTCAACAGGGCTATTTTGCACATCCTACCATGCCTCCTGGTCTTTTCTGGCGTTACTTACGGGTGCAGATTTGCGTCCGGCCCTTCTAATCTTTTCTAAGCGTAAATATATGTTCATATGAACTATGTGGGTAGATAACAAATGATGCGGGGTCGCTGGGTTTGTTTCAAGCGCAGGTTAGATAGTCATGCGAGTGGTGGTGAGTGGGTGTAAGTAGGAACTGCCTTGCATGGGGCCCATATAGCCCCATGCTCGTATGGACTTGTGATGCAGTCGACAACTGCGCCAGATTGTGCTTTGAATACATTACTGATATACACGTTGGCAACGAGGGATGCCCGAGGCACTGACAGGGCTAGTCTTCACCCAGATATGTGGACATGGGATGATGGGAAGCTTGTCACCAGCCCCTGTTTAACACCACCACCGTCACCATCG